TAGCTTTAAAAGTGGCCTTTTCTCAAAATTTTAAAGATATGCCTTTCTTTCTCTCAGTAATTGCCATTTACCTTTACTTGTATCTAAGCGTATATTTCAATTTTCTAAAAAGCTGTAACTTAATGAGTTTTAGCTTATGCTTATCTTGATATGTAAGCACCTTTGGTAGCCACTTGTCATCGTGTGTATTATATATGGAGAATCTATATATCTATAAAGGAGGGAATAGAAAAGATGATTTGGCACCTCTTTTTGGCCAAGAAATCTATTTATCTTTTTTCTCCTTTTTTTGCCTTTACTCCTTATTTTTTCCTCATATAGTAAGAATGAAAGCCTTGATTATTACTGCCTCAACGTTTCATATTCCTTAATAAATGCAGACAAGGAAGTTTACTGCTGGTTTATTAATTTAATAATTGCTTCTTTTAAGACACCAAATAACATAATTGTTGTTTACAAAGAATTTAGAGAGCCAAGAACTTCTTCTTCTTTTTCTTGAGTAGTAATAGGATTATATATATTAGTTACTAAGCATCATTCAACATATTATATAGCATAGTGTCACTTGTAATGACATTGTGGCTAGATAGACCTGCATGCAAAAAGCTAATATCACTTGTAATGTTTTGGTTTCCTAAGCTTCTAAGCATATTACAAACAGAAGTAGGTAGTTGTTTTAAATATTTGCATTCCCCGCTCATATCCTTGGTAAGCGTTTCTTCCACAAAAATCGGCGGTGCAGCAAACAATTTTGTTTTCCCCGGCAAATATTGTTTATTTTCTTGTTTTTTTGCTTCCTTTGCTAGAGCATCCGCAATTGCATTTTCTTCCCTGAAGTTATGCCGGAGTAGAAGGCTCTTCTCCTGGTGCATTAGTGACCTGCAAGAGTGAATTAAATTAGTTAGTATGACTTGTCCGTTGTTAATAGAGTTTATTCCGTTGAGTCTAATTCTATTTCTAATAGAAATAGTTTGAACCTGTGCGCCAGATGTGGCCCTTCATGGACTGCCTACAATTCAATATGTAGAGGGAATAGGCCTTGACAGAATTTGTGGAATCCTAGTATCCATTTACCAGTGTTGTACCTGAATACACCACCTATGCCGCTTTTCAAGTTTTCAAAGGCCCCGTCTATATTAAGTTTTTTCCAACCTAATTAGGGGGCATGCCACTTAATGTGAAAGGTTCTGGTGGTTTGGATGGTTTCAACATTTGAGGTCATGAAGTGGAATTCTAGGGTGTTGATTTAGAATTCTTTGGAGTGATGGAGTGTGGGTTGTGTTGTTGGAGTGGTTGTTATTCCTATTAATCCATATCCCCCGTATTATGAAAGGAAAGAGATGTTTCCAATCAATATGAGATGATTTAAAATTTGTCCTTGAGTTTTTAAGATGGAGCAACCATTGTTGAGAGTGTGATATGGTGAGGTCCCTGATTCCTAGATTATCCCAAAGGGCTTGCACGATGGGGCATCTTATGAAATGTTTATATCCTTGATGGTTTTGAAAAAATAGATGGTCATATTTGCTTAACGTCCATGTCTGATGATCCATGGTTATGGCATAGAAAACTTGGTCATGCTAGCATGCATTTGATAGAAAAATTGTCCAAACATGAGTTAGTTGTTGGCCTACCCAAACTGAATTTTTCTAGAACTCATATATGTGATGCATGCCAAATTGGTAAGCGGACCAGAAACTCTTTCAAAAATAAAGATATTGTATCTACTTCTAAACCCTTGCAATTGCTTCATATGGACTTATTTGGGCCTACTAGAACTGCTAGTATAGGAGGAAAAAGATATGCTTTTGTTATTGTCGATGATTATTCACGTTTCACTTGGGTAATTTTCTTATCTCATAAGGATGAAGCATTAAGAAATTTCGAGGTTTTCTGCAAAAAGGTTGAAAGAGAAAAGGGATATCTGATCTCAACAATTCAGAGTGATCATGGAGGAGAATTTGAAAGTAGATCATTTGAAGATTTCTGTAATGATCAGGGATACACTCATAATTTCTCTACACCACGATCACCACAGCAGAATGGGGTTTTAGAAAGAAAAAATAGAACCCTCCAAGATATAGCAAGAACCATGTTACTGGATCATTCACTGCCAAATCATTTTTGGGCAGAAGGTGTAAGTACAGCATGTCACATTCTCAACCGATGTCTCATAAGGCCCATTCTGAAGAAGACTCCCTATGAATTATGGAAAGGTAAACATCCCAATATCAGTTACTTTCATCCCTTCGGAAGTAAGTGTTTTATTCATAATAATGGTAAGGACAACCTTGGAAAATTCGATCCAAGAAGTGATGAAGGTATTTTTCTGGGCTACTCATTAAATAGTAGATGTTTTAGAGTCTATAATAAATGCACATTATGTGTGGAAGAATCTGTACATGTTATATTCGATGAAAATAATCCCTTGGTCGAGAAAGGAATTACTGCAGGTGATGAAGATCAAGCTCAAGAAATTCAGGAGACAAGCAAATCTCAAGAGTCAACTGATATATCTGCTACGATAGAGTCAACTAATGAAATCGGCAACAGTGTACCAGATCATCCAATCGAGTCGACTACGAATACAGTACGTCCAAATGAATGCAGAAGCGGGCCTGAATATCCTCAAAAATTCATCATAGGAGATCCAAATAAAGGAATGAAAACCAGGGGAGCTCTCAAAAAGAAAGCAAATTTAGCATTAATCTCTCAGGTTGAACCAAAGAAGATAGAGGAAGCTCTAAAAGATTCAAGTTGGGTTCAAGCAATGCAGGAAGAGTTAGATCAGTTTGGTAAAAATCAGGTGTGGAAACTGATACCCAAACCTGAAAATGTTTCTGTAATCGGAACAAAGTGGGTCGTCAGAAATAAATTGAACGAAGATGGAAAGGTCGTAAGGAATAAAGCCAGACTAGTTGCTCAAGGATATTCACAACAGGAAGGAGTCGACTATGACGAAACCTTCGCTCCAGTAGCTCGCTTGGAGTTTATACGAATTCTTCTAGCATATGCATCGTTTAAAGGATTTAAGTTGTTTCAGATGGATGTCAAAAGCGCCTTTTTGAACGGATTTATTGAGGAAGAAGTATACGTGAAACAACCGCCTGGGTTTGTAGATTCAAAGTTTCCCTACCATGTGTACAAGCACGCTAAGGCACTATATGGACTAAAGCAAGCTCCACGTGCTTGGTATGATAGACTTAGTTCTTTTCTTGTTGATCATGGATTCACAAGAGGTAAAGTAGACACTACCTTGTTTATTAAAAGATCATCAGAAGGTAATCTCATTTCAGATTTATGTTGATGATATTATATTTGGTAGTGCTAACCCTCTTATGTGCAAGAAATTTTCAAATCTTATGCAAAGCGAATTGGAAATGAGCATGATGGGAGAGCTATGATGGGAGATCTAACATTCTTCCTTGGACTCCAAATTCAACAATCTGAAGAAGGAACCTTTATATGTCAGACCAAATACACAAAGGAACTTATTCAAAAATTTGGCATGAGCAATGCAAAATCCATTGGCACACCAATGAGTCCTTCAACAAATCTAGACAAACATGAGCAGGGAATCCCTGTTGATGAAACTAAATATCGTGGAATGATTAGATCATTACTGTATCTGACGGCAAGTCGATCGGATATTATGTTTAGTGTGTGTAAATGTGCCAGGTTTCAGTCAGCTCCTAAGGAATCTCATCTGACTGCAGTGAAGAGAATCATTCGATATCTCATTGGGACTGTATCTCATGGACTATGGTATCCTCGCTCTAACTCTTTTAAACTAGAAGGTTTTTCAGATGCTGACCTTGCAGGTGATAAGGAAGATAGAAAACGCACAAGTGGTACATGTCAATTACTTGGAAAGGCATTAATATCCTGAAACAGTTAAAAACAAGCATCGGTTGCATTATCTACCACTGAAGCTAAATACATTGCTATTGGACAATGCTGTGCACAATTACTGTGGATGTCCCATCAACTGGGTGACTATGAACTTTCTTTTAAACTTATACAAATTTTTTGTGATAATTCAAGTGCTATTTGTCTTTCAAAAAATCCTGTGCATCATTCTAGAGCAAAGCATATAGATATCAAGCATCATTTATTAGAGATCATGTTCTTAAGAGAGACATGAAAATATCTTTTGTTGGAACTACTGATCAGTTAGCAGATATTTTTACTAAGCCATTATTAGAGGATAGATTTTGTGCTTTAATAAAATTACTTGGCATTACTTGCTTAACTAATAACCTATAGGACCTATGTGTATTACAGTTACTTTTGCGGGTTTAATGATTGTCCTTTTCTCATACATTAATTACGCCTCCGTTTTTCCCTCTCTTTCCTTCTTCTGTCACATCAGTTCGTCGTTCAAAGTTGGAAAGCCAATCATCCCGTCCCTTCAACTGACGCCTTTTCCTTTTTCTGTACTCAACCGTCAGAAGGTTCTCTTCTTAAGGTGGAGAACCCCTTTCAATCACTTTCATCCCTATCATCTAGAAAACCCTTCTCCAAAGATCCGCTCAAACCACTTTCCTTCAATGGCCAAACAACCCAGAAATCCATTCGCTTCCACCAGAAAAAGTACCTGCTCCAAAGCAAAACCCCCTTCTATGCCCCCAGAACAAGTAGACCTAGGGTCCGACCACTCTCACTACTAGAAAAACATTAATTTGCGATCGAAATTTGCAACTGATATTGAAGTAGTTGCTAATGCGACTAGTTTTGCGACTGCAGTGGTGGGAAAAAGATTGCACTTTTATTGCTTTTAAAGAAAAGGAAATTCGACTAGTATTCTGACAAAAGTAATGGGAAAACAGCGCGGGAAATCTCCCACCTTTAGCTTTGCGACTAATCCGGTCAGAATATAAAAAGGCAATAATAGCTGACCAATTAGGCGACTATATCAGTCGCAAAATAAAAATTAAAAAGATAAAAAGAATTAATATTTTAGTGCGTTTGTGACTGTGGTAGTCACAAAGGTATAGTCTAATATTTTAGAGTTGAACCCTTTTCCCCAATTTCACCCGTATTTTCCGAATTTCCTCTCTCTATATATATATATATATATATATCTCGATATTTAATTTCTTCTACGATTTCTCTCCATTCCACCAGTGTTATCGATTGATTCTTTGATTTCTCTTCAACTCCACCTGTGCGGCTGACGGAGGCAAGCGGCGGGTGGCAATTTTCGGCTAACGGCAGAAATTTCAAGCCTATTATTCTACTCTTGAAGACCAATTCTGCTCCAATTTCTCTTCCAGTCCTCTTTTCGATTAGTTTCTGCCTCTTTCTCTCTTTTTACTACCTAGATATTTTGTGGGTTTAGCATTATCGCAATGTTTATCCTTGAAGATTTATTACCTAGATAGTTTTTTCGACTCTAGAAGACCAATTGACTCTTGAAGATTTATCTTTTTTACTGCTCAAATAACAAAATAGGTTTCAAGAGCTTGATAGATCCGGAAGTTATTCATTTCTATAGCTATATTTTTTAACACCTATAAAGAAAAGTAAATATTATACATACACTCCTTTATTCCAGAAGTTTTGGCGTGATAGCAGACCTCGAGATTCGAACGGAGAAAATGCACACTTTCTATTTAAGAACCGAAAAATAAATTTTATAGACACTTTCTCTTGTCATATCTGAAATTTGGATTGGCTGTTGTTGTTGATGAGGTTGGAAAATGGTGTTGGTTGAGTTATTGGAGCCATAAATGAAAATTAAGAAGCTGAGGTTGAGGAACTAGAAATGGCTAATCTTGTAGTAGGTTGAGAAGCTTTTATTTGTGGTAATAATCTAATATTTTCTGGAAAATTTAGTTTGGGTCTGTTGCCTCTGAATTAAATTATAATTTACACAGTCTATTTATGCGAAGGACTTAGATAGAATGCTCGTATGATGTCTGAAAGTAATTAGTTCGGTGAAGAATGTTAATTTTTCTGTTATTGTTGTAGAGATCTATCAGGCCAAAGGTTGGTTTGGTTTACCTATTAAAAGTCATGATAAGTATTAAATGATAGTTCGGAAACCATGAAGATCACTGGTTAGATTTTGTATTTAAATAAAGATCATGTTTCTAGGTGTCTTATCTCTTTAACTTAACTTGAATAAGGTCTCAAGGAACTTATCATGATTACCAATAACTATAACTCATTAAATCTGATTATTACCACAAATTTATGTCATTCCTTAATAACAATATCCTAAAAGTCTTGGGTGGCTAAACAAACCCTTTAAAGCTTTTAATTAAGATGTTAAAACCATGATCTTGAGATGGAGAAAGACTTATTAATAATTTGATTAGGTACGTAATGACCTCACAAGTCTCCTCATATGTAGGCCAAATGATTTTTATTAATAATAATGGTACAGTCCTTTTACCTGCTCATCTTACTTCCAGGAAAGTATTTTGGGTAATTACATATCTGCTTCTGTCAGGATGCACATTCTCTTTGATATTATATACTGATATGAATTAATGAATCACATATGATGAGATTTAAAAGCAAAAAAGTAAGGCAAAACTATTTTATGTAAGATGTTAGAATATTCTAGGATGGCCACAAAATATATTTTTGTTGTTGAAAGAATCAATTTTTTTTATAGTAAACTGTTTGGCATAGTACTAAGTAATATATATGGCTCCATCTTCATCTCCATCATCATCCACTCCTAGCGTTTCTAGGCCGCATGTTGAAATCTCTGCCATGTTTGTTCTCACTCAGATCTTACTAAGGAACTGTTTGTATATTATTGGTTTTGTACCTTTCCACTTGAAATGATACATTATATGTGACAACCAATGTATTGTTGTATTCTATGTGAAAAACTTAAGTTAATAGTGGTCATGGTTGTAGAATCTTGAGAGAAATTCTCATAAGGGGTATTTGCTAGTTCAAATTGATCTGTTTGTTTGAAAGGGAAGTTTAAGGTTTCTCCATGTATACAACCTTTCTGTTTTATGAGCTTCTTGTATTTCTGGTATCCATGTAGAATGAAATGATATTGAATGGCTGAGTGAGAATACTAGGAAGCTGAGGCAGAGTGAAAAGAACAAATAAAAGCCATATTTGGTGATTCCCTCATGCTTTCAATCTTAAAAGCTCATTTCAACGTCTTGAAAATCATACTGCATGCCCTTATTGAACCCTTTAATACAATGTTTATTTCTTACAATGCATCCGTGAGAATTTGTTCTTTAATCTCTCATATTAAATTACAGCAGGTTCTTTACTTCCTTTAGTTAGTTTTTTTTAGTTTTAAAAAATTAGTTCTACTCAAGATGATGGTCTTTTTGAGTTTTGATGTTGTTGTACAATATTTGGATCGAATCTTTCACAGGGCAAACTAAGCTTCTAAGAGGTTTATATTTGTTCCCATGTAGTGGATGTGGTGAAGGAAACATATAATTGCACATTTTTATTCGACTAGGCTGATTGTCCAGTACACTCAGAAGGCTTATTGTATATTTCTTCCTAGTCTGCTTTTCTTTCTGATAGTATAACATTGTTGCTTCATACTATTAGTATAACCTAATTTAATGCTTAACATTTTAATTCCAGGAAGCCTATCAAAAACGTTTCGAGGAAAGTCAACCCGATACCGAGGATGGTAGCTCAATCCAAGTGACACTCAATGATGTAGCTTCAATATGGATGCAGGTGGTTGATGGCGCAAAGAAAAGTAGAACTTACGATCATGGATCATAATATTCTGTAGATCGTTCTACGACATTGTTGTCTGGTGAGGCTAGTTATTCGTAGAATCACGAAGAGGTGGAAGCATTACGAAAAGAAATTGAAGATTTGAAGGAGGAACGGAAAGAAGATCGCGCAAATTTTAACAAATTGCAGAGTCTAGTGGAGAAATTTATGAGCAAACGTCCATTTGATCCTTTGAATGGAGAGGATGCCAGAAATGATGAGTTGTAGTTTGTTGTGGTTGTGATGTTTGAGACATTATTTTTTGTTGTGGTTGGATGTTTAGACTTAATAATGTTTAAACTTGACATTGAATGTAATGTTTTAGACTAGATTGAATGGTGCTTCAATATTTAACTTGTGTTTGGATGTTTAATTACAAATATTTTTATACAATTGTTTGAATTTTATGGATTTGATTAGTTGAAATAGTGGATTAATTGGTTGATTAGCATGTTGGATTAATTGTTTAGTTCATGTATATTTAAATTGGCAGGTGGTAGTGCTTTGAAACAGCAAGAATTGTCAAAAAGTTCTCAGTTTTCTGACCGCGGTAGTCGCAAAGTGCGTCAAAATTTATTAGTTTTGCGACCACACTAGTAGGAAAACTTAAATAAAATAAAAATACTTTATATTATTTGCGACCACTACGGTGGGAAAGAATGAATAAAATTTATTATTATATATACCGTTTGCGATCGAAGTAGTGGAAAAGTTAATTTAAAATTTAAATTTAAATTAAATTATTTGTGACTTCATCAGTCGGACAGTTGGCATCATTTATTGGTCGTTTTTCTTTTTTGATTTTTCGACTGTTGTAGTCGCAAATTACGGACCGGTTCGGTCGCTAACCTTTTCTGACCAGCTATTTTGCGACTACGATATTTCGATCGAAATGTAGTCGAAAATTAGCATTTTCTGACTGCATTGCGACCGTTTTGGCAGTCGCAAAATAGCCATTTTCTAATAGTGTCTGAGGGTTTCGCTTCTTCACAGGGAGATTTGTCTGATCACTCTCAAATCTTAGGAGAAAAAGCCCTAGGAAAACGACCTATGGAAAACCCCCTTGTTTCTTCTACCCCAAAGAAATCCAAGATTGATCTTTCTGGCTCTCTAGAATCTGACCTGAATTTTTGGGATTCTCCAAATAGGGATTTCTTCATTGCTCTGAAGGACAAGCCCATTGCTCATGGAAGGGTAGTCGACCTCGACAATATGGAAGCCCTAAATTGTAAGGTAAAAAATCTCTTTGTTTATCAAGGGTGGGCTAAGTTATTCTCTATTCCTCCGCCTAAAGTCTATGAACCCCTGGTAACGATGTTTTATGCCAATCTCCGCTCTAGTAAACCTGATAGGTTGGAATCCTTAGTGTTAGGTAAGCGCATTGTTCTTGATTGTGCTCTGTTTGATTCACTCTTTCAGTGTAGATGTTCTGGTTTTCCTATGCTTTTCAAAAATACCTGGCCCGATGATTTTGAAATTTCCTTTGACCAAGCTAAACAATGTATTGCTGAGTGTCCCTCTGACTCCCTTCCCAACTAGTTAGGTCCCAGTGATGTTAGTTTCGAAACTCGAGTCCTGGCTCACATTGTAGCAACTACTCTGCTTCCCCGCACTGGTTCCTTTTCAACCTTCTCTCAAAGAGACACTTTCTTAGTATACTGCCTTGTGACCAAACTCAAAGTCAAGTTATCCTCCTAGGTCATTAATTTCATGATTGAAAGTGCTGAAGATCCCACCAGTCTACCCTATGGCATGGCCATCACTCACATCCTGGAAGCTCATCAAATTTCCCTGTCCGACTATCCCTTTATCACTATTTCAAAATCTTACAATTCTAAAGCCTTTGCAAGTATGGGATATGTGAGTGTGAAGGGCTCCTAGGTTAAGAAGCACGAAAGTGATGTAAAGCATGCTCCTATAGAGCCCAAACCTAAACCCTCTGCCTCTTATCTCAGCCCTGGTGATCCTGATCTTGGTGAAAAACTTCGTGCCATTGACACTCAACTCTTTGAAATCAAAAATCTCCTCTTAGCCACTCAGTCTACTGTTGGTGACATTCATGCCATCTCCAAGGAAACAGGGTCTGATATGTCAAAGATAAGAGTTGTTGTTCTCAAAGTTAGGGAGAATGCTGTCAAAGCTTTCAGGGAGATTCATGATAGGTTGGATGGAGTGAGCATCTCAGCCAATGCTAGCTTTGAACAATTGAAGGAGGCCATCTGCAACACTCTTACCTATTTTCTGCATCGTTAATGTGGTTGCTTAAGACAATTTTTTTTGTTGTGCTGGCTGTTATCTCAGCCATTGGACAATTTATGTTTTTATTTTGTTTTAGGTGTTTCTGTTTGGACTATAACTCTACTGTTTAATGCTATATATTCTGTTTAGTTCTTGGGTTGTTCCCTCTTTGCTGATGCCAAAAAGGGGGAGAAGAGTATATGTTGTATCTGTACAGGTATAGTCAACTGTGGCAAAAGTAGCATCCTCCACGGCAGGAGTCGACTCCAACCATAGACTAGTCAACTGCATGAACTGAGTGAGAGTACCATGAACCTGTCAACTGCATACATTGAGGGGGAGTAAAACACAGGGAAGTCAACTATTGTTTATACATATATATTATTTTGGCATCATCAAAAAGGGGGAGATTGTTAGATCTAATTTTAATGATGCAAATAATATATATGTGCAGGAAATCAATTAGAGAAGATCAAGGAATCAAGGAGCTACTACGAGATTGTTGAAGTCAATCTAGATGCTTAAGGAAAGAAATCAATCAGCAAAGATTGCGAAATCATGGACAGCTGCGATGGAAAGAATCAAGCAAGCCTAAACTTAAGGCATCAATAAAGGCCAGCACATTCAATCCGGCAGATTGAAGCAGTCAAAAAGCATCGAAGATTCTGTAAGAAGATTAGCTGAGCTGCTAATTTCGTAAGGACCAACAATCAAGGAGTAAACCCTCATCATCGACATCTATAGAAGGAAAGCTGTCAATTTCCTCTCATCAAGGAAGAGCAACGGCAAGCAATCTTATTCTTGGAAAGGATCAATCTCTTACCAAGGATCAAATCTCTTGGGTTGTCAATTCTCGTCAGCAAACGGCCTTCACCAAAGTATTTATACTCAGCATCAAGCCTTAGACAAAATATACTTTGATCGAACCAAAAATCCTCTCTTTGTTCTACAGTCTACTGCAAACAAACATTGTAGTTCTCTAAGACCTGTTGTGTAACAAGTTAGAGTAAAAAAGAGAGAACAACACTGGTGAGGCATTGTATTAAAAGAGACGAGTGTTATAGGAACTGAGCTATCACGTCATTTCCATTGTATTCGAAGAAACGCATTTACTAAAGAGAACTCCCTTGCAACCCAAGGGTACTGGACTAGGATTCACATTGAATCCGAACCAGTATAAAATTTTGGTGTCTTTAATTCCTGCACTTACTTTCTGTATTTTATATTCTGCTATTATAACTGTTAGGTTATTGCATCTAGTCAACTCATTGAAAAACCGGTCAACTAATAGAGACTAAGATTAAAAATATACAATTCACCCCTCCCCTTGTACTTTCATGTTCTAGTTGGGAAATGTTACTTCTGTTATTTAGCATTCCTCAACACATTATAGGAATTTATTTTGGTTGATACCAAACGGAATGTGAAGAGTTCTCAAGCTTGCAAGATAAATCCTCGAATAAGTCCTCAAGCTTGCATGATGAAAGGTCCTTTTGCTTCTTCTTTTTTCCCTTTTATATCTACTCATTGTATTTGAAATTTGTTCTCGTTTGTTCACTATTTTTTCTTCTCTCTTAGGTAACGAAACTACATTCTCTTGACAGTTTTTGGCTCTTTGAAGAAATTATGAAAAAAATGCACGAGCCAATCACAAAATAACCTGTAATGTATCTAGAGTAAGAGCTTTATATAAGTCCAACATGAACATTTGATATACTCCCTATTTACGTGAATTTGATTCTCTTCTAAAATAATCTATAATATGTTTAGATGAAACATGTTTTCTCTAATATATATTATTTATAGTATACCTGATAATATATAAAGTTCTTTTAATATTATTCATGTACTTTGAAGTTTTGTATACAAAATGTAGTATTAAATATTTATATGTTACTTTTAGATAAAAATTTACTCACATCAAGTTATGTTCTATGAATTATAAAATGAGTTTTAAAGAACTTATAGTGACAATCTATGTGAAAAGAGTAAATTGATTGTACTTGGTTTCAAGTCAATACGTCTTTGCTAAATCGTTTGAGTACTCATATAGCTATTAATTACTACTACAATATATTAGTATTAATTAAACAAAAGATAAGTGCAGAAAATAAGAAAGGGCCAACAAAGGTTGGTGTGATCAAGATAGTGTGAGTTAGTATTTGTAATGTGATAGATCAATTTCCTTTTTTGGTCAATGTTGAGTTCACGGTAAGGGACGTTAATGAAAAATAATGAGTTTTAAATATCTTTTTGTAATCTAATAGTATTATGAAATTATTATTTCATAGATTTAATGAGATGTTTTACGATCGCGCGAAGCGCGGCAAATTAACTAGTGTTGAATATAAAATAGAAAAACATGTCGGATTATCATTAATAAAGCAAGGCCACACCAACTACTGCAAATGCCATGGCAATACCCAAGTCTTGTGAGGCTGCAGAGGCAAAGCTCATAAAGATTTTCATAATCATCACAGCAAAACAAATGTCTTGTTTCTTTGTGTCTTGTCACCATCTCACACCTCGTAATGATGGCTAAAAAATGACAGAAGTGATCATAAATGCATTTCCAAATAATTGGGAGTACAAGCAAAGCTAGGGGTCCGACACTCCGACTCTCCCCACCCCCCTCTCCAATATCCAGATATCTACTTGCAACAACGAATTCAAAATCTAGAGTCATGGGTTCAAATGAGTAATATGTATATATTTTATCTTTTTGCATATATATACATAATTAGAGCGAAAAACAATGAGTTTAGTTGAACTCAAGAATTCGTCCTAATTCCGTCCAAGATTTTCCGATGAATTCAATTATAGGAGTGTCTAACAAGAACAATGATTTATTTGCACTGAGAAAGGTTGCTGCTACCTGCAGTGCTGGCCCACGATCAAAGAGTAGTACTTTTCAGTGAAGACAATACATTTGAGGAAGAGAAGTTGCCAAGAAAACTACAAACACAACTACAATAGGGTCCAATCATTCACTTTCGTAAGATGAAAAATGTGCACACTTTTATGGTGTTGTGGTCCTACAACTATGTTTTAGTTTTGTCAGTCTCACAAACATGTAGTGCCATGTGTAACATACCAAGAATTGTGTCATTATTATTGCACCTTCCTTTGTCCAACTATTTTTGTTCGAACGTGAACATCATATTTCCAAGGTAAAAGATTAAGAATTGTTTTAAAACTTCCTCATTGCGGTGATGTTATATATAGCAGTTTATAGATGAATTTATTTCCGCAGACGTAATATAGGAGGCCCCTTTCCAAAGTTAGGACACAATTGACAATTTTCACTCTCAAGTTTCGACTAAAGCATGCACATTGACTTAATGTGAAAATGTGATTATAATACCAATTACTACCATATAGTTCTGCCCTTTTTATTGTAGCAGTTCAGAGAATAATTTGTTTCCACAGAGAAAATTTAGGAGGTCCCCTCAAATATCAGGACACATTTGTCCATCTTCACTCTCGACCGTGGCATTAACATGTGAAGTTAATTCTTGTACCAAATCATTCTGCCTTTTCCAAAGGAGTGGGGAGGGATCAGAATATTAACTGAGAGAAGTTGTTCCTGGCTTCCTGCACAACACTATCATACCAAAGTCCTCCAAAATATAGACTTACCCAAAAGCATATAATCTAGAAAAAATCATGTTACAATGATCATAAAAAGAGGACCCTAGATACCTTATTTTTCTATCTAATCCCCTTTCTCTGCCAAAGTAGAGAAATAGAAACGGCCAATTGATGTTATGCATGCACTAGCGAGAAGTACAGCAAAGTCACATGCACAAACTCCAAAATAAGTCTATGTACCATTGATCATCCTACAGTCTTGTATTACGAAACTGATATAATATAGTTTGTATCTTTCAGGTAACTTATACATGATTTTGAGCTGTAGAGGAAAAAAGAGGAGGCGCACGTTGACATTGATATTTTCACCCAAGTGTGAAGCAAGTCTGCAATAACTTATGTTTTTTCCCTTCTCTGATGCAGAACCAGAAGCACTCTCTTGGTGATTGCTCAGAAGTCTATACATTAGATAATGACCAGAAGAATTATGAACCACACAGCTCAAAAGGACCAAACTGTGTTTTCAGAAAAAACATATTGATTCAAAACTCAACGGTACCATGGAAGCTTAATCATGGTATCTGAAATAAACATTCTCGTCCACATTATGGGATGAAGGAAATGCGCTACATAATGTGATGATACAAAAGTGTGAATAATGGTTGATTTTTTGTTTCTAACAACATATCTCAGAGTATTGCTAATAGCATGTTAACAAACAAGTCTCATGACATGAGGGGCATACACCTCAGATTTACAAGTCAATTCCCCGGCAGGAAGATAAACAAACTGACTAAACTCCACTCAAAATTTCTCCAGCTAGCTACATTGCTAACACTACCGTCAAGAATATTGCTGTTCACAGTTTTAAATTAGGTCTTCAATTGCTGAAAGCACCCGAACAGTCTCTCTTGCTATATGCTGCGAGTTACTGATTAATCAACAAAGAAAGATGATTTCACCACCTTCAAACTACAATCTGTTTCTTGACGAATGCAAATGCTACAAGTGTTTATTTTAATATGGAGATGCTGGTGTTCTAAGTACCAACGCACACGTGCAAGAGGTAGGGAGTACAAAGATTTACCTTCATATGCAATATATTACTGAAGTTGATTACTCATTCTGCTCAGTCCTGAAAGCTCAAAAGAAAAAATACATACATCAAGTCATAAGACATTTAGAGGAAGACTGATTAAAAGGGCAATGCAACCACCAAAGCTTACTTTGGTTTGTCAGTTAAAGTCACCATAGATCTGAGGACATCTGGATTAATACTATCTGCAAGAACTCCTTGATCCGATATCCATAAAGACTTCTCCTTTACAAAGCTCTGCAGTTTCTTCGCTTCGTAATCAAGTAGACTTTGATCTGCATCAAGTAACTAACTATTTGGACCGGTTCATGTTTCAAATATTGAAACAGAGTAGAAGACCAAAGTAAACACTAGAATTCTCAGCAAGACTAAGGAAATGAATTATGAAAGAGAGAAAAGTAAAGGGAGACATAAGTGAAAGTTAATGGTCATTCTAGCGCTTCAACTTGCATAAAATCCTTCCTACACTCAATAAGACCACCCTAATGTGGCAAGTCATGATGGGGTTGGCTTTGATAAGGACTAGAAATCTACTCATATGAAAGAGCAAGGTAAAACAATTTAAACAGCCGGCAATCAGCACTAAATTTGTGAAGTTTCACATGAGCATGAATGCACAAAAATATGGGGCTCGGAGGGATGTCAGAAAGTGGGTAAGGTATACTGGTAGTAATATAGGTTGCGTCCTCGGATGTCTTTGTCTAGAAAATTATTTACTTACTAGATGAAAAAAGAGCACAAAACATTGTTAGGCATCTAAGTAGACGCAAGTTAAGAATATTAAATTTATATGAAATGAGGGTGTTATGGCAATATGAAACAAAATGATAGACAAAAAATAAGAAATCCAAGAAACAAGATAAAATCCTCTACAGTATAAAATCCATCACATTGCAAGTATACGCCCCACCTTTATGCTTAGACTGTCGTAAATAAGTGATCCTTCCATGCAAAAAGAATGACACAATTTGGATTACAAGGGTCAAGCAAGTCTAATTACTGTACATAGAAACTAATAAGAAGTATGTAGCCTTTTAAACCTAGAATATTTAAGAACACATTCAAGAAAATCTTAATTTAAAATTAGTTCGCTCTACAATAGTGTGTCATTTATAAAATGGATCAGAGGAATGTTCACTCTCTAGAAAAGCAAATCCACCGCCATCACTTGTCTATCCTCTACTTGGTGCAGTATCCAGTAGAGATCATGCATCATTGCTTTAGCCTATCGCTATCTTTGCTCATTCTAGTCTTAGTAGTTGTGCTTCAAAACTGTATGTATTCTCCTTTTTCTTCTCTAATGTGATAAACCTCACTCCAAACCCTGTGACCTCAAGATTATTCTCGTTTTTCTTCTCTGATGTAATAAATCCAAATCCAAACCCCCTACTCCCAGGAGTCAATGGTGGCCCTTTCCACTTTGTTCCCTCGATGGTTCAAACTTCCACCCTCTTGGTTAGAAGTTGATCACGTAACACAAGCAACCTCACTTGCAACCCACTTTATGAGGAAAAAAATCTCAACTCTCAAGAAATTTGTCTACATGTTAAATAACTTCTATCAGCTTTCATTATTTTTAAAAAAAAAAAAATTAATAACTTCTATCGGCTTTCAAGCAATTTAATTTTAATATATTGCTCTTCTTCAATGGTGACTGGTAAAGCTTTGGCTCTGAAAATGCAGCTCCTGAAACAGCACATGTTTTCATATATAGAAGCTCTTCCTCGTGCATTCATGTATGACTCATTCGCTCAGATAAAGTGGAGGAATTATACTCGCATACAGTTTATATAGAAAGTGTACAAGTGCATACTTTTATAATAAATATTCACAACATAAATGTGGTAAGAAAGAAACCTTTCTCCAGAATGGTATGAGCAGCATGAAAAGGGATATTGGCAAATACATCAGCTCCCGGGAACATGACCCAAGTCTTCTCCTTTGAATCATGATTACCACAGGTTGGACAAACCTCTTTCACCAGTGGTCTTGATTCAACATCCCTCATTAGTGACTCAAATGGTGTAGGAACGCTAGTTTTTGTCGTCTTGGCCCTCCTCCTTAGTGCAGTTAATGCTTCCCTGTTCCCATTCCTCACTCTATCATTTTCAATTAACTGCATTACATTACACATAGTTTGTTTATACATTTGAACAGAAACCATTTTGCGTCAACCTAGAGGGCATTTCAAGTACCTGTTGCCGAGCTAATAAAAGATTTTCAGCTTCAATTTCAACTTCAATAAGCTTTTCTTGCAACTGTTTCATAGAATGGTCCATTGATCTCTGAAATAGCAATAAAAATTATGAGTGCCCTCGACTTTCCACAAACTAATTCATCAGATAAATTATTGCAAGAAAAAGCTATTATAATATTAAGATAAACGAAGACGATAGTGACAAGGGCATGAAGTTTGGAAGAAATTCATCAGGGACTATCAAACACTCAAACTCTCATGCACTAACTCCTCCTAGGTGACGATTTATGTACAGACAGAAGTTTGTAAATTATGCTCCACCAACATTCTGTGACTACAACCAAACAACTTTCGGATTTGTTTACTACAGCTATACAAAGAAATAATTTATTTATTTACAATACTCATCATTGAGCTCAATTAAATAGTACTACAATTTTGCTACCACAATTTCTATATAAAAAAATCATGAAGATGCTTGGATAATGAATAAATACAAATCATTAGAAAGAGGTGAGACCGTGAGGGGAGAGCTTTACAGTTTACAGAGTGCCGAGGGACGAAAGAGATACGTTTTGACTCTAAGTTGGGCCTCGCCGGCTGCTTTTGGCGGGGATTTCTTACCGTGAGAAGCAGTGATTTTGGGACCAGGGCAAGGGTTTCTACTAATAGTGGAGAGAGATTCGGCTGGGTTTGGGGGCACTTTTGAGGAGTGGATTTGATTAAAAGAAGGAAAAATATTTATATTGCTCCTTAAAGTTGTTCCAAAAGTCATTTACATTTAAATTTTTGAGGTGTCGTTTTTTTAATGAGTGTTGTACAACTAAATTCTAAATACACTTAGGGGTCGTTTGGTTGGAAACAAGTTATTCCGGGATTAGTTATTCCACCCTTCCATAGGGATAAATAAATACTATAATTCCGGGATTAGTTATACCGCAATTTTATCCCAATCAAACATGGGATAAATTCATTTCAAATTTAATCCTAAAATTAATTATACCTTATCCCTCGTACCAAACGAGGCCTTAAACACTAATTCTTTTCTATTTTACTTTGTTTTCTTATTCCTTTTTTTTTTTTTTACAAAACAAGGATAGATATATTAGTACTACGGAATAGAGTTTGTTACATAATCCTCATAAGTGGAGGACTTAATGACATTGATATTGCCTAAGTTGGCAAGATTAACACAGATACTAGTACTTAAAGACTTAGTAAGGTAAACATGGCCATCCCTATCTGCATTAAGCTTATTTATAACAAAAGGAGGAGGCCTATCTAACACAACATGAGACTTTGGATTGTTTTCTTATTCTTACTTCTTCTTTTTTCATTCTCTTCTCTTTCCCTTAAAAGAAAAAGAAAAATTTACACACATGTCCCAAATAAGTCTCAACTTACCAACTTCTAGTCATTAGTCATAGACTTACCAAAACTAACCAAGCACATATAAAAATTAAAAAACCAAATAAATAAGGTTCTTTCTCTCAAAGAATCACGTGCAAAAATCATCTTCCATATTTTTAAGCGTGATTAGCAACATTAGATGCAAGGCGGTAAGGAAATTTCATGGATGAGGTAGCAAATAAGGTGATGAAATATAAATATATATATATATATATATATATATATATATAATATTTATTATATTATATATACAATATTCCAAAAATCTAAGCAAAAAATGAACCTTTTCAATGGGTATAGTTGAAATTCATTGAAAACATATAGATAAGTCAATATACAAAATTTGAGGAAGATTGGAGGTGTTTTGGACTGATTTTGTATCAAAATTCGTAACTAAATCGAGTTCAAAAAATTCTTCTGTGACACATGTATCACGCATGTATCTCATACACAAGTATACAAGTGATACACAATTGATATATATATGATACATATGTGATACACAAATGATACACAGTACGATACACATATCATTTTATTTCATGTTCAGTTTTTACTTCGAATTTCAATTCAAACCACCTCAAAACTTCACCAAACCATCCCAAAACTGAGATTCAAGCTTCTTAAGATGTACCCAGTCTATTCTAATAACACCCACTCAAAATAAAGCAAAAATTTGACCTTTTTTTGCTACAAATAACTAATTGGCTAATATTAGTAATATTTTATGAATTGGTCAATTTTTAAAATGAGCTACTTACAAATGGACGTAGTTGGTAGTTTTCAAAGAAAAAGACCGACGACCCGTTTGTAAGAAAAAATGGGTGAAAAAGTTTTTGGCCAATCTTACCCAAATGTCCAAAATAAGTCCAAACTTTTCAACAACTAGTCATTAATTGTTGACTTATCAAAATTAGCTAAGTGTGTACAAAATTTGAAAACCCGGATAAATAAGAATTCTTTCTCTCCAAAAATTACACGCAAAGATCTCCTTCCATATTTTTAAGCGTGATCAGCAACATTAGACGCAAGACGGAAAGGAATTTTCATGGATGAGATAGCAAACAAGGTGATGAAACACAAAGAAAAAAAATATACAAGATTCCAAACACCTAAGTAAAAAGGGATCTTTTTCCATGGGCATGGTTGTAATTCATTGAAAACATATAGATGAGTCAATATACAAAATTTAAGGAAGATTGGAGGTGATTTGGACTGATTTGGTATCAAATTCGTAGTTAAATTGAGTTTTAAAAATTCTTCTACGACCAGGGGCGTACTTAAGATTTTTGGTAAGTGGTGTCAAATTTTTAAAAAAATGAATGAATGAATAAATCACTATAATGAAAAAAGATGTTATTTTTTATATTTATACTAATATTTTTATTTTGTATATTATCTCTATATACATATTTAATAAAAATTCCAACGAATCAGTGTCACGGGACACCGCTTGTCGCAAGGTGTATCTGCCACTGTCTGCGATACATATATCAAACATTTGTCACTCACGTATCTCACACACAAGTATATATGAAATATACATATGATACACATGATATATATGTGATACACAAAATGATACACATGTCATCTTTTTCATGTTCATCTTTTACTTTGAATTTTCAAAGCAAACCATCTCAAAACTCCACTAAATCATCCAAAAATTGAGGTTCAAACTTCTTACGATGTACCCGATGTATTCCAACAATACTCGCTCAGAAGAAAGCAAATATTTGACCTTGTTTTCGCTACAAATAGCTAATTGGCTAATATTGGTAATATTTTATGAATTAATTAATTTTTGGCTAATTTGCTTATGGGCTGATATAATTGGTAGTTTCTCATCGTAATATCAAGTTGGGGCATTTGCATCTATACCCGTTTTTTGTGCCACGTTTTAACTTGTGCCCGCTTTGCAAAAAAAATTGCAAGCGTACCCGCTTTTTCGCATAACTTCAGCATACGGGGCTGAAGTAGCAAAGGCAATCACGCAAAACTTCAGCATTCTAGTAGCCGGGCCTGAAGTTCAGCGCTAGAGCTGAAGTTTTTGTCTTTGTAACTGGGTAACTTCAGCTCTAGAGCTGAAGTTTTTTTCTTTGTAACTGGGGAACTTAAGCTCTAGAGCTAAAGTTTTTGTCTTTGTAACTGGGAAACTTCAGCTCTAGAGCTGAAGTTTTTGTCTTTGTAACTGGGGAACTAGAGCTGAAGTTTTTGTTTGTTTATAATTTCATTTGCCACACCATCTTGACCAAACTGAACAAGCACTTCCACTTTAAAATTAAAACATTGAACCAACTCTTCTGCTTGAAGTTTTTTAGTCCTTAAATTGAAATTGAAGAGCTGCAGATTAATCCATAGCGATCCAACCAGCTACGGAGTATTAGTTAGTAATGCAAAATACTGTGAGAAACCTAACCTTGCCAACAGTATATTTTTACAAGTTTATTATCGCGATTGCAATACCAGATATTGCATCGAGTAGGCCCACTAAGAAGTTTTTCATTCGCAAATTGCAAGTTTATTCAGATGTATAAGTTGGCGTGAAAATTTAAAGAACTCACCGGAGAAATAAGAAGAAGCAGATAGGAATGAACCTTACTTCTGGAAAAAGAAAAGATAAAATTTTGAGGAGGAGAAAGGAAGCTGAAGTTGTTTAAGTACAAGTTAAAAGTTTTTAAAAAAATGGGTATAGGTTAAATGGGGGCGACCAAATATGGCGCCCCGTGCAAGTTTTACTATCAAGTTCCGGAGTTGTGTTTGTTTGATAATTTTGGTAAACTATTGTTAATTTTTCTTTTCCACTTTATCAATACCAATATTGCATTTCCTTTTCCTGTTTTGAACTTTTTGATGGGACTCACTATTGATGAATTCGCCGTAACACTGATGGACGAGAGAAACTTGCTAAAGTGGGGGGCGTTTGCTGATCAAGCCTTTGCTTTTAGTAGCGATAAATCCTACGTGAAAAGAGCTCAAATTTAGCAAACGTTTGCACATGGTCGATTATTAAAGGAAATTTTGCTTTTCCTCTGAAGTCCAAAATTCAGAATTAGAACAACCTCTCCTTTCTGTTCATCTTCGGACATAATTAACGTGTCTTATGAAATTAGTTTGGTGGCATAATATTACTACCACGTGCTTGCAAAAATTTGAATTAGAATCCTTTTGAAAAAAAAAAGGGGGAATAGGAGAAGGAGGTGAAGCTAAGAGTATTATATTGAGGTCTAACGGAAACGGTCATTCTACCTTCCCAAGGTGGGGTAAGGTTTGCATATACACTACCTTCCTAAGACCCCATTTGTGGGATTACACTGAATATGTTGTGTTGTTGTTGTAATTTCTGTATCCAGGATAAATATACTCCTAATAAACACTGAACTATTGTAAATGTAACAACAATCATTAAACATTAATCCAACTAGTTGAAATTGCCTCAGCCCTCATGATGCAAGGAAGTATCTATGAGAAACATAATCTCTAGCTTTGTGTACGTTACAGGATAGTAATCATATGAGTATAAAGCTGGCTGTTTGGGGCTTCTGTCATTAATTTAATTCATTTTTATGCCGACATTTCATTCACACAGTTGCGAATCCAGATTTTCAAGGGACACCAAAATAGGACCAAACCTCAGAAGTGAGCAGATGAGAATTCAACTTTTCAATCTGAGCATTATAAAGTAGAAAAGACTAAAAGAGTCCGTAAGTTGGTTACAAGTAAGAGACAAGGAAGCATTTTAAGTAGAAAGATGATTCAACATATACTCCAAGTAGTAATAAACTGAATATTCAATTTATTGCACTTCATCTTCCCACGTTTATTTTCCTCAGCGCGCAAAATCACACCATTAGTTCAGGCATGAATACGCCAAGGACTTTTCCTCGATCAATTCCTTCGCGCTTGCGTCCATCTTGGCTCTTGAAAACTCATCTATCTTGAGATCTGCATCAGAAAACATAGAAAGTCTTTAGACAAGCTCAAACACAAGATGTTCACTAGCCTGAGCACTAAACTTTTTTTAACATAATGGTGCGCGAGCTTGACTGGCGCAGGTGCTGGATAACTTTCTCCACCAAGTCTTAGACAAATAGGATGAAATCACCTAGCATTTCTTGCCTCTTGCTGGATTTAAACCGTGTTTTACATACCCCGTGCGAGTACTAAAATGACACCACAAACTAACCTTGCACAATTGACCATTCTCCTTTCTCACAAGTAACTGGAAAAGAGTAAATTAAGCCAGATGGGATGCCATAAGATCCATCAGAGTAGACTCCCATTGAAACCCATGTTCCCTACACAAAATATGTAAGCAAAATTTAGTCTGATGACCAAAGTGACATATGCATTGTACAGATGTAAGTGTTATAACTATACAGAACGATAAATGCGATACTGAACCTTTGGAGTGCCCAGAACCCAATTACGTATATGATCACAAGCTGAGCTAGCAGCAGATAATGCACTTGATAGCTTTCGAGCTTTTATGATGGCCGCTCCTCGCTGCTGCACTGTGGTGATAAACTCTGTGTTCAACCTAACATTTACAGGAAAGTTATTTAGTACTGATTTGATCTTCTTATTTTGATTATATACTTTCTTGTATTTGAGGTATAAAGTTATGGATAGTATGTCTGCCTAAAGTTGTAAAGATATGAAAATAAGACCTATTAATTGAGTAGAGCAATTTACCATTGATCATTAGCCACAAGTTCTCTAACAGACTTTTCACCACTAGTGGTTTTTACTGTTGCATGATTCACATCTGGATACTGAGTTGAAGAGTGATTTCCCCATATTGTTACATTCTTTACATCTCCAACATGAACATTTAGCCTCTCTGAAACCTGACCTAAAGCTCTGTTGTGATCAAGCCTTGTTAGGCAAGTGATGTTTTTCTCTGGAAAGGAAGGTGCAAATTCTTTCAGAATAAGCGCGTTGGTGTTAGCTGGATTCGCTACAACCAAAACCTGCAACAATCGCAGACAACGATAAACATGTCAATTTTTGAGCTCGTGTTGTCTTCAAAGATTATGAATTGAATAACAGAATTTTCTTACCTTGCAATCAGGGGCAGCATGCTGTTCTAAGGCAGAGGCCTGTGCCTTATAAATCGAAACATTTTTTGACATTACATCCTTTCTTTCCATCCCTTCCTTTCTTGGAAATCCACCAACCATAACAGCAACATTGACATCTTTACAAGCTTCGACAACATCCGTTGTAGCAACAACACCTATCGAACAATAACAATTTAATAAATTCAAAACAGTAGGAAGAAAAAGATGCTGCATAATGATTTTTTTTTTCCTTACTGTATTTTACCTTTGAGAAGAGGCAAAGCAGCATCAATCAATTCCATTTTCACTCCTTTCAAGGCCTCAGCAGCAGGTTCAATATCAAGCATGTGTATGATAACAGGTTGATCAGGGCCTAACATGGCTCCTCGAGCAATCATCGGAACAAGAGCATATCCAATTTGGCCTGTTACAACAAGTTCAAACCAATACGAAGCATCAACATACAGTATTCATCTTATGCCAATGTGATGGATTTAAATGGAGAGCAATGATGATTCATATAGCGGACATGAGTGTGCTAATTCAGTAAATCCTTGTTAACTAATCAACAAAATCCACTTTTTAGAATTTCTTATAGCATGTTACATTTTTCATGATCACAGTTTGACTGATGACTAGCTTGATAATTTAGTTTTAAAATCTAAGGAAATCCAGATTATTTTCAATCCAATTCCTTCTTGTAGTGAATCTAAATTAATAGCACCTGAACGCTGATGAATTTTAATCTAGTCATCTGAGTTTAACGCATAGTCATACCGCTCTAAATCTTATAGTCATGTTCTTGTCAAATACTGTGTGATTACCAACATGGTTTATATTTCCTGACTTCTATGTATGAGTTGAGCTTGATCAAAACATTCAGAAGCCTAGCAGGGTAAAAGGAAGAAAAAATTAAACATCAAGATAAAACAAATTAAATTAAAGGTTCACATTACAGAAAATAGATGCGGCGAGCAATAGAATGAAAATTAATTAATTAACATGCCTGCAGCACCAGTAACAAGCACTGTAATTGGATCCTTTTCTATATTCAAGAAACTCCATATATGCCTAACAATCTTCCATGACAAAAACGCACAACCCAATAAAACAAGAGGCTTTTCCATCGATCCCAAATAATATTCCATTTTAATAAGAAAATAAACAGAGAGAAATTTCACAGAATAATCTGAATTAGGTACTGTAACACGATACATTATGTGATTTTTAAAGGAACAAAAGAGGAATTTTCACAAAAAAGAAGTTTGAAGACAAGGCAACCAAATGACAAAGACAAAAACCCCAAGCTATGAAATAGAATAGTAACTCATCCATGTCAAGAAAAGAACCTGATACAAAACCAAAATGAAAACCAAAAAAACGGTACCGGCGGCTCCAGTGACAAGAACTCTAGTAGGTTGTTTTGCCATGGTTCAAAAAATGCAGAGTCTGAGTAGAGAAAATTATATTATGAAGGTTAATGTGTTACTTATGATTTTACAATGTTAAAGGTCTGTTGATAAAGATTATGACAAGTAGAGTATCGAGGTATATAGAAATAATATTTATAGGGATAAGTTGCCTAGATTATAGGATATGGCCATCAAAAGCAGTTGTTGCAATCACAGGAAAAGCTGAATGTTCGTTGCTGCCTCACGGACTTGGCATCAATCGGACTTGTTCAATTTGCTCTGTAATTAACAGGACAAGACAGCATATTTAACAAATAGATTTACTTTAAATATTAAAATTTCTAAATTTCTTTTTAATTAATATCAATTGCAAAAGGATAAGACAAAAATTATATTTGTGTTTTTGAATATTCCCTCCGTTACCGTTTATTAGTCCTTTGTTTTAAACGTATTATTTTCTTTCAAGAGAAAGTTATTATTTTCTTTCGGTGTTACCTTAATATTAAGTACTTACACTTTTTATAATTTCTCAATGGACGTGCCTAGTCAATAGAGCATTAGTAAAAGAAAACGAAGGACGTAGCAGAAAGCAAACGGTCAAGAAATTAAAGAGTAAAACACTCTGTTGCTTGAATAATTAATCCACTTTACTACTGCTTCAATTGTAACACAAGATTCCCCTTATTTGCATATGGCATAATTATGGAATCACATGAATAGTGTAATTGTTTTTAATGCATCTTTTGAATTTGGAGCTTCCTTTAAAAAGTTATAAGAATACTTTACAGCATTTGCACTTCAACGAGCATTAGTTGACACCCTTTAGCCCGCAGAATAAAGAATACCACTATTTCCTGTAACGACCTAAAATTCATAGTAGGTCGTGATGGTGCTTAACACTGCTGTCGGCCAAACCAACAATAACTGATTAACTTGATTCTTATTTTAGTATTTTTGAAATCATAATTTCCTTCAATTAAATAATAAGAGAGAAATTTACAGAGTAAATGATAATGTTTTCACCACTACAACCCTGAACAACTCATAAGTACCCCAAAACCCGTTGTCGCAAGTGCATGAGCATCAACTAGGGAGTAAAAAAAAAATACAGCATCTGTCCGGAATACAAATTAGACAGGAAAAATATAAATAACTCTGAAGGAGACTCTGCTGGCTGCCGATCAATGCAGCTCACCTAAGTCCCCACATTAACCACGCCTCTATGCCCACAAGGCCACTAGACATACATGTACCTGTACAAAAATGTGCAGCAAGTGTAGTATGAGTACGTAAATTAACGCGTACCCAGTAAGTATCCAGTCTAACCTCGAAGAAGTAGTGACGAGGGGTCGACTCCGACACTTACTATGGGCTAATAATAAAATACTGATGTTATAATTAAGCATGGATTACATAATATAGCTGAAAACTCAATAACCGGAAATAATAAACAATACTTGTACTAATAGAAATTGCCAAATGCATTTTCATCATTTAACAATTCATATCTCAAGCCAATGAAACAATGTCAATTATTATTAGTTCCAAAGAGTTATCATGCGCAAGTCATGCCGAGGTCGTACGACCCGATTCAACATGATATTTAAACTGTGCACTGCCGTGGGCAGCACGAACTATAGATGCATCTATTAATCTGCCGAGGCAAACGGCCCGCTCCCATGAGAGTAGTGGAAATTTATCCCGCTCGCGGAATATGCTTGCGACGCGGTTGAACATAGATTTCTCAAATTATTATAATATTCCTCAATTCTTTTAAAAAAATACGAAGTTCGAACGAAAAATTTTAAATCTCGAAATCCTCAATCTCAACTCTTTTTTAAGGAAAATAATAAGCATACTCAATCTCATCTCTTTTCAATGCAAATAATAAGCATAATCAAATAACGGTATCAACAAGGCATGGTGTAAACCTAAAACTACCCGGACATAAGCATAATTAGTAGCTACGTACGGACTCTCGTCACCTCGTGCGTACGTAGCCCCAGCAAATAAGAGCACACGTGAATTCAACTCACCTATGGGGTTAATTCTCTCTTACAAGGTTAGAAAAGAGACTTACCTCGCCCCGAAGTTTCATAGCCGGCTCCCAAGCCTTTCCAACAACTCAAACCGATGTCCAACGCTCCAAAACTAGTCAATAAATGTTGCAAATCCATAAATATATACTCTAATACTCATTATAATCCAATTTCCAACTCCGCTTGAAAAGTCGATAAAAATCACCATCGGGCCCACATGCCCGATTTCTGAATTTTTTTGAAGTTACATTACCCATAGCCTCACGAACTCAAATATATAGTTCATTCTCAATTCCATGCCCAAATTCGGTGTCAAAATCCAAAAATACCAAATTTTTAGGTTTTCCACCAAAAACCCAAATTTCTACAAATTTTTCATGTTAAAATCTATGTAAATCCAAGTATTTAACTCAAAATACACGGGAATCCCTTACCTCTTCGATGTTGATGGAACCCCTCTCAAGATACTCTAAAAAATCGCCTAAGTCCAAGTGGGAAATGAGGGAAAATGAGCGAAGTCCCGAAATAAAAGCACTTGCTCCAGTCGCATATATCGCATTTGCAACATCTTGTTCGCAAATGCGAAGCAGAGCCACCCCTGTCAAGGTCGCATTTGCGACCAAAATCTTCGCAAATGCGAAGCGGGAAGTATCGCAAATGCAAACCCCTCAGAAATTTCCCACCCTCGCAAATGTGAGTTCGCAAATGCGATCAAAACCTCGCATTTGCGAGACCTGCAGCCCAGACCAGAAACCAGTAGAACCAGCAACAGCTTTTCATCCAAATTGATCTGAAACCACCTCGAAACACACCCGAGACCCCCGGGACCCCGTCCAATCACATCAACCTGCCTCAAAATATGACACGAACCTGCCTCAAAATATTGTATAGGGTCAAATTTGACCGTCAACGTCTCTACGCCAATGGGTACGCCCAGTGAGTATACGTCAACTAACGTAAGGGTACGACTTGGACGTGGGGACAAAAGCGACATCGTTTAAGACTCAGTGTCTTCACTAGGAAAACGTTACCTATTTTTGTATCTTTTTGATTATTTCGAGGGAGGTCTCCTACTATATAAGGGAGACCTTCACATTGTAAAAAAGGGGATAATTCTGGAAGAATACAACTCTTTCATTTTCTCCTACTCTCTCTCTATCTCTATCTCTAACGAATACTTTCTCTTGAGTTCATATTATCATTTTACACTATTAGATCTACAACAACAACTTCATTTTTCATCTCTAGGTCTATTATATTTGATTACGATTTACCCTTTCCTACTTTTGATTGTTCTTAAGCTTGCAAAGTATATCGATAACTTTTGAGCCAAACAAATATCAATTGCAAAAGGATAAGACAAAACTTATATTTGTGTTTTTGAATATTCCCTCCGTTACCGTTTATTAGTCCTTTGTTTTAAACATATTATTTTCTTTCAATATTACCTTAATATTAAGTACTTACACTTTTTTATAATTTCTCAATGGATGTGCCTAGTCAATAGAGCATTAGTAAAAGAAAACGGAGGAAGTAGCAGAAAGCAAACGGTCAAGAAATTAAAGAGTAAAACACTCTGTTGCTTGAATAATTAATCCACTTTACTACTGCTTCAATTGTAACACAAGATTCCCCTTATTTGCATATGGCATAATTATGGAAGCACATGAATAGTGTAATTGTTTTTAATGTATCTTTTGAATTTGGAGCTTCCTTTAAAAAGTTATAAGAATATTTTATAATATTTGCACTTCAACGAGCATTAGTTAACACCCTTTAGCCCGCCGCAGAATAAAGAACACCACTATTTCCTGTAACGAACCAAAATCCATCAAAGGTTGTGATGGCACTTAATACCGCTGTCAGGCAAGCCGACAATAATTGATTAACTTAATTCTTATTTTAGTATTTTTGAAATCATAATTTCCTTCAATTAAATAATAAGAGATAAATTTACGGAGTAAATGATAATGTTTTCACCACTACAACCCAGAACAACTCATAAGTACCCCCAAAACCCGGTGTCGCAAGTGCATGAGCATCAACTAGGGAGTAAAATAAAATACAGCATCTGTCCGGAATACAAATTAGACAGGAAAAATATAAATAACTCTGAAGGAGACTCTGCTGGCTGCCGATCAATGCAGCTCACCTAAGTCCCCGCATTAACTACGCATCTACGCCCACAAGGACACTAGACATACATGTACATGCACAAAAATATGCAGCAAGTGTAGTATGAGTACGTAAATTAACGCGTACCCAGTAAGTATCCAGTCTAACCTCGAAGAAGTAGTGACGAGGGGTCGACTCCGACACTTACTATGGGCTAATAATAAAATATTGATGTTATAATTAAGCATGGTTACATAATATAGCTGAAAACTCAATAACCGGAAATAATAAACAATACTTGTACTAATAGAAATTTCCAAATGTATTTTCATCATTTAACAATTTATATCTCAAGCCAATTAAACGATGTCAATTATTATTAGTTCCAAAGAGTTATCATGCGCAAGTCATGCCGAGGTCGTACGACCCGATTCAACATGATATTTAAACTGTGCACTGCCGAGGGCAGCACGAACTATAGATGCATCTATTAACCTGCCGAGGCAAACGGCCCGCTCCCATGAGAGTAGTGGAAATTTACCCTGCTCGCGGAATATGATTGCGACGCGATTGAACATAGATTTCTCAAATTATTATAATATTCCTCAATTCTTTTAAAAAATACGAAGTTCGGATGAAAAATTTTAAATCTCGAAATCCTCAATCTCAACTCTCTTCAAGGCAAATAATAAGCATACTCAATTTCATCTCTTTTCAATGCAAATAATAAGCATAATCAAATAACGGTATCAACAAGGCTTGGGGTAAACCAAAAACTACCCGGACATAAGCATAATTAGTAGCTACGTATGGACTCTCGTCAGCTCGTGCATACGTAGCCCCAGCAAATAAGAGCACACATGAATTCAACTCAACTATGGGGTTAATTCTCTCTTACAAGGTTAGAAAAGAGACTTACCTCGCTCCGAAGTTTCATAGCCGGCTCCCAAGCCTTTCCAACAACTCAAACCGATGTCCAATGCTCCAAAACTAGTCAATAAATGTTGCAAATCCATAAATATATACTCTAATACTCATTATAATCCAATTTCCAAC